TGATGGTGGGGAAATCGTGATCAATTATGTGAACCACCCTACGTTTGTAGGGGCGTAGCCAAGGGGGTATTTTGGGGGTTGGAACCCCCCCTTTTTGAAATGTAACAAAATAAAAGCATCTTTCTGTTTCATACATAGCAATTTTTCGAAGCTTGAAACGCTTTTTAGACCTCAAGACTCGACGTCCTGCCAGACTCGCTAGCTGTTTCGATCTAACTTTCAAAGAAAAGAACTTTCAGAATCCTCCCCTATAAAAATTTCTGGCCACGCCCCTGTCGTACATAATTATCTCCCGGATCTGAACCTAAACATTGTGATCATTCATCCCCTATCCACTATTTGCTCACTATCTTTAATTTTTTATTCTTTTTGAATAATTTTCAACTATTAACTCATTTTTCTTATACGTCTTGCCTCTGCATTATATTTGTTTTGATATTTTGTATACTTTATTTGGACCTCCTGAAGTATGTGTACCAGGTTAGGGTTCAAGTTATGCGACATCTTGGTGCACATACTTCAGGAGCACCCTTTATTTAAATATATCTTGAAGGTAACTAGTTGACGGTTATTTTTTTTATTTATTTTTCAATAATTATATGGCTGGAATAGGTTTTGACTGACTTTGATGACCTTTGGTCATATCGCCATCTCCCAGTTGTGGAATTTAATATTTTATAATTTATTTGTATTTGGTTGACAAAAGGGGTTTAGTGTAGTTTCGTACCTAACGTACTTCTAGTGGGCGTAGCATAACAATTTTTTTATATGTCAAACCTAACTCCCACCTGACTACGCCATCCGAAAATTATGTCACAGTGATATAGTAGATGGGATTGCAAGTGTATGCTCGGCACAATGTGCCAATCATAGTGCCAGTATTATCGGTTTTCCTCCCTAATTAAAATCATGAATCTTATCCTAGTTTACATGAACTACTTAGGCTCATAAAATTGTTTATTTTATTGCATTCCAAGTCTTATCTTGAGGGGCCAATAAATTTTTTATTACCCATGGATTAGTACAGTCTAGTGCAAATATGCAAACATTGACTTTTATTGCCTGCAATCATTTCAAAGAGTGGCTTTCCTGACTACAGGAAATATTTGTAAATAATTAAAAAGCTATGAATGAAGAATAACATATTCTCTTCCCACAAAATAGGAAGTGTATTTGTAAGCTTCACAAGATATAACTGCAATGATAAAAATCACAATAATTTTTGAGTTGAGTTACTTTGATAAAATTCAAAAAATGTAGGCAATCTAGGCTGGTAGTTCCTAAATGATTGTTTGCTAGAAATTTTGTCGTTTGGTTATTTTTCTGCTTCACTGATTGGTATCTGAAAGGATGAAGTTATGTTGCTGTATTAGACATTTGTTGTCCCAGTCAAGAGTTATGCTCCATTGTCTAGTTATTGCATATGCATTGTTGTGTGGAGTCTGAGCCCAAATTCACCGATAGTCGACCCAGTTACTCAACTCCAACCGCCACTGCATATGCTGCGGATTCGCAGTGTCAGTCTCTTCTGCTGTCGCTGGGTAAGGAACATATTTTGTCGCTCTTATTTTATCTGCTTCAAGCGTGGATTTTACACTATTTTAATAATGTCTCTTCGTTTGCATCGTGAACTTCGAACCTATTTGTGTGTCTTTGCAGCACACTGGATCTTCTGAACTAATTATTACTTTATTAGTGGCGAGCACATATTTCGGTGAAGTCGTGCTGCTGCACTTCTGCAACACAGACTGATTCTGTCCAGTTATGCCCCATCGATTCTCTGGTAAGCTTTAAATCTCTTGGGTCATTGACATATTTTTATATTGAATTCATTAATTCTGTCCAGTTATGGCAGTTATGCTTCAATGATTTTTTTGTTAGGTTTGAATTTCCTGCAGCAGTGGCATCTTCCCTTCAAGATTTATTTATTCTGCTTATTTCATGCTCTACTGAGTTTTTGAATTGACCTGTCTGTTCAGTTATGCTTCAATGATTTTGGTAAATATAAGCTGGCTATTCATGCGTAATGTCATGTTGAATATTACTCACTATGCTTGGGTTCTTGGAAACATTCTGAGATTTAATCATTTCCGGGTTAACGTAATAAAATACCTAATACAATAGAGAGTGTACGTCAATAGGCTATTATACCTTCAATGTAGATTATGGATCTTAGGTTGGATTAGGAATAAAGGAGTGATTTACTAGTACAGAACCTCAGATTTTGATATTCATTGTATTTATAATGAGCTGATACATGAAGATAGGGCAAACAGAAGTGCCATCGCCGCGGTGGGCAATTCCAAACGGAAAGATTTTGGTTTTTTGAATAGATTGAATGAATTTTTTTGACAATAGATTCGAGTACACAGCTTTGTCCGAAGTGAAAGGCATAAAAAAGTCACTTGAAAAGTTTTTGATGGAATAATTTATTGGAGTAAGAAATGATATGATAGTAATTTATATGCTCATTTTGTTTTTGCCTTGAAATATTTCGTACAAAATATAACGTTGAATGAAATTTTAAAATCATTCTGGTAAAAAAATAGGGGAAACCCTCAAAGACCAACTATCACTCTTTGATCTACCATAATTTGGCAAATTTTTGTGTGTTAGTTGCCGAGGTCTGTTACGGCTTCCTTAGACATCGAGTTCATGTTTCTGAAACAAAAGACTGGTTAACTTTACGCTTAACTATTGAATACGAGGCTGTTGTTCGGCATTTTTGTGGTTGGTAACAAGCTGTTAAATAATAATTACATCCTGTATTTGTCGTGGTAAGACATAGTTCCGAGAAACTTATGTTGGATATACTGGTAATACTAAGTTGACGGAAGCATAGATGTCTAAGATTGCCTTGAAAATTTTTGTTTAGGTGTTTATACACGTTTTTTATAAAGTTTTGTTACAATTTAAAAAAATGTCTGTTCTCGACACATCTTAACAAGGTTTATTTTATTAATAAGTGTTTATTGCAGTTATTTTATTCCCATGCCCATTAGTTGCACTGAGCACAAGAAAAAGTTCTTTTACCTGATTTTTTATAAAATATGTGTTCTGAATTACACTTGATAGTGGTCAAAAATTTGTTTCGCATGGTAACATGCTCCCTGTGTCTGTCAAACATTGGTAAAAATAAACTCATTGGGTTCTTAGAAGGTGTGAATGTACTTTAGGATTAGGATTAGGATTTATAATATCCTAAGTAATAGGAAAACCTACATGGTAAAACCACATTCATGCAAACCATCCGGTTACCAGGCAAGATCTAGTGTGGGGGATAAGATAGCTTTATCATATCGTGAACGCCTAGTGTCCGCTTAAAAGTCCACATCGGGTTTGGGAACAGTTAATTGCATTCAGTATTATTTTCATCCATTACACAAAAAAAAAATCCATAAATTTATTAAACACTTCAACGAAAATGAGAAGAGAAAAGTTTATTTAACACTTGAACTTCAGTTTGTGTACGATTGTACCAAAAGTTTTAGTTATTCAAGTGGCTTTGTACAAATGCTATGTTCTTTCCATAATATATCTCAAATGACCTGTTTTTTTTTGGGCGGGTACCCTGTACTAACCGGTAATTAGTTATGATTATACCAGATGTATGGAGCTATGCACATCCCATGTTACTTATCTGTCATGAGTCGTCTTTTGGGAATAGAACAGCCTGTGTTCATTCCCATGAGTATGGTGCAGCAGTATGTATAGAATTACATTCCTGCCTCTGGGCATATGTTCATAATAATGTTATATAGACATATAGTGTTGGCTGTTAATAAGACATCATCATTATTACTTATCGATCTCGCTTGGTAAGTATCTTGATAAGTATATGTTTGTTAGACACTTTCGCATGTTACACGATATCTCACGAAAGAGCGGTTGAATCTGCTCCAAATTTCGCAAGTGCATTCATCATATCTCTATTGATTCTGGATGAACTATGTCGTATAATTAGCGAGTTATTAATAAATTAGAGATGGGGCACGTGGTGTCGCTATTGAGTCAGAGCGAAGGAATCGAAACCACAGAACGATAAGTCGGCGGTCTACGATCGCTAACTAGTTTGAATTAATTCAGAATTTTTTAAGCAAGTCTATTCAATGTAAGGTCCTATGATAACAACCCTATTATGTGGCAATCTATGTAGTGGATATGAAACAAGTCAACTATTATGCGGTGATGCCTTTATTTTATAATATTAGTTCAGTCTATCTATTCAATATAAGAAGTAACACTCAATGAAAATACATTGGGAAGCAAAACTCTATTATTCTAAAATATTTTTCTTTGCAGTTAACACCTATGTAATACAGTTTATGTTAGACAGTTTAGCGATATAATAAAACTTCCTTAAGTTTGTTAATTAACTTTATGTATGAAAATTCATGTAATACAGACAGGCCGACCCAGAAAAAAAGTAACTCATAAAATCTCTACTTATTTCCACACAAATGAAAAATATATTATTTTCAAAGCCTCTGTGTTGTGTATGAGTGTACTTAAAAGTTTTAGTAATCTGGAACAAATGTTCCAAATTATTATTTTTTATTTTTTTTTTTTGGGGGTGGGGTCACCTTTTAAAAATTAAGTGAAATATTATGTAATTATGTCCTGAGCTTATTTGCAGCTTTGCAGTTCAATAAGGCCCATATGATATTGTTCATTGTTTTTGTGATATAATGAAACTTCATTAGGTTTGGATAATCAACTTTACGTCTGAAAATTCAGGTATAAGAGAAAAGCTGACCCCAAAAAATAAAAAAAATTTTTTTCCAATAAACACTCAAAACTTCAGAGTTTGACTAGGATTGTACCCAAAAGTTTCCGTAATTTGGAACAAATGATATAGGTTCTATTTTTGAGGGGGGGGGGTTCACCCTGCACAAATTGAGGTAATTAACATGCGATGATATCCTGTCTGTTCAATACAAGAGCATACAGTGAGAAGCGAAATCCTTCTATTAATCTGAACTATAATTCATTGCAGTTGAGTAAGACATACGTAATGTAGTTTATGCTCTATTATTTGATGCAATAATATGCATGGAATGACTCATTGGACAGAACTATTTTATATCTTTTTTTTATGACGCTATTTGGATGACATCGAGAGGAAGTCGTAGTCATGGGATCTGAAATGTTTTTCGCGCAGAGCAAAACGAAAAAACAGTTTGAAGGTGACGTTGTCAAGTTACGTTCTAAACCGCAAGTCAGCCCGTTGCAAAATAATAAATCTCGTGCTTCAAAAGTTACGTCTATGATTGAGTTATTTAGCGGAGAAAAAGGTGTTGATTTTGCGTCAATTAAGCCAAAACCGTGCGTCAGAAATTCTACGATTTTTGCCAACGAGAAAGAATTGCAGGAAGTCGTTGATTGTGATAAAACATTCGGACATAACAATGCCGTCACCAGCCCAAAATCGCCAAGTAGAACAAATGTTGTTTCAGTGGGTATACGAGTGCCAAAGCCATTCTTAAAGGAAGGGACATCTGTACGGGTGCCAAAGCAATTCTTAAAGGAAGAGACTCATTCCAATGAAAGAGCTAAAGAGCAAAATACAACACGAACAATATTGAGCAATAATTCAAACAATCAGAAAACTGCTGAAACAAACACAAAGGTGATTGGAAATAACGCCGCGAATTTTTCGGAACAAAATTTTCAAGGAAGCAATAAAAACGAATTTTCAACAGGAAAAGTGTCATCAAATCAAAATAAAAAACCAGCTATTGATTCTAATGGTATAGTGCAGTCTTCAAACCGAAATAGCAATATAACCGCATCGGAAAATAAAAATTTCAGGCAAAAATCGCCAGATCTACTAAGAACTGCGAACAGTGGTGCAAGGAGTCTGTTTTTAAACATGGATAAAAGGGAAGAAAGAAGAATTACAAACGCACGGAACTATTGGGAACATAAATTAGAACCTAGAAGAAATTTTACCACTAGAGGGCTCACTCCTTATAAATCAGAATCAAATTTGAATTCTACCTCCCCCTCATTTAACGGAAAAACTTTTTCACCGATCTCTTCTTCAAAAACTGATTCTATTAGTGGAGAAATGGATTCCCCTCCCCAGTTAGGGCCGAAATATACTTTTCCTAATTCAAATTCTTTAAGGCCATCCTCGCCAAATAAACCAACCGGGATTTCCCCTCCGAGTCCAAGTTTAAAACCAAAAAATAGGCTGCAAATTTCACCCCCACAAAACGAAGAAAAACCAGTAGTTCCATCAAGGCCAAGGTTTATGACAACAGCATCGGGGTTGCGTATTCCCTCAAACCCTTTTCCAAACAATAGACCAGTTTCTGAGATACCTAAAGTGTCTTCTAGTTTATACAGTGTCCCACAAAAACATAAGCCAACTCCTGTAGGTGCAAAATTGAAGATAGGGGAATTCCCTAATCGACCAGTGTCTCCTTTAGCTGTCAAAACCCCACCCCCATCTCCGAAGTCTCCAAAAGAAACGAAAACCCGATCAGAAGAAAATTTTGGTTTGGTTGGTGCAAAAACAGCATTTTTTAACGGGAAAATAATGAACAAAAAGGACACTAACAATAATACTGGCGTTAACCCCCTTCCAAAGCCACACAGAACGTTTACATTTGGTGCCGCTGATGCCAGTCCGCGTCCTGTTCGGCCCCCCAGGCCATTACATCGGAATCTCATCCGAGTTTCGTCTGATCTAACCACAATAAAGGGGGACGGAATACAAGGAAATTTAGAGACAGCGTTCCTAAACCCTGGGCTATATCAGTCTAACCCAGATTTGTCTTCTATCTCCAGAGCTCCTAAGGAAGGATATGAGGAAGTCACATTTTTCAAGCCAAATGGTGAGTTGATAAATATAGGGTGTCTATAAAGTTATAAATTTTTTTCTGAAATTGCAAAGGGAATTTATCGATACCGTATATGGTTATAGCCCTCACAGATATATTATATGAAGTAAAAATACCAGAACAATTTCGAATTAAAAATAACAATAAACCTGGTTAAGATATATTGAGAACTGACTTTATAGCAAAATTGTAAAAGGACTTTATGGACACCCTGTACTTTTTTGCATTTTTTATGACTTTACTCTGAACAAGGCTTCAGATGAGTAGCCTCTGATATCTAATGAATAGTTATTACCTTATATCTTTGCATATATGTTTATCCTCTAAAAATGGCCCTAAAACGGTAAAATTATGAAAATTTGTATATAAACCGACCCTACAACTCTTAACATGCTGTACCCACCTATCACAGCAAATTCAAGTTGTAGCTGTTGGAATTAAGTTAGCATTATTTCTTTTCGTTTGAGTGCGACACCCTAGTTTGGCAAATTTTGGGACTTGAACTGCTTGAAAACTGGTTTGTGACTACGTTTGTAATTTACTTTGGGTTATAATTTAAATAATTTATTAATATATTAAGTTGGCCAACAACAACAAATGTCTGAAGACAATAGAATGACTAAATGGAACCGACAACACAACTATGAGGAGGTGGAAGATCTCACGCTCATGAGCAATGCAAATGGTAAATAGATTTTAAGCATTTATCTGGTTGTTTTTTACATTTGCTATGAATTAGTCTTCACACGGTTTTCAGAAACTAAATGAATCCTATGCTGTTTAACATAAACCTGTGATTCCCAACATTGTTTGCTAAATTCCTCTTTTTACCTGTTTATTCCTTCTTCACTCCTGTAGTATGTGTACCAGGTTAGGGTTAGGCCATAATTTTATTCTGATTTTCTTATTTTAGTTGTTTCATGGGTTAGGTGACTGTCTGTGTTAGCCAAGTGAATATCCCCCCTGCCCAAAGGTTTCAGTCCCTTACACAACTTGATGTAAAGTAGGCGAACAAAATTAATTACCTTCCATATTGGTACACATACGCCCTTTACCTAATATCAAAGTAGTTTGCATATGTCAAACAGCTCTCTTTTTACACTAATATTATTATGCTTTATGCATGCTGACCAACTCCTGGTATCCTGTTATTGTTTTGACTCATTTCCTACATAAGGTTTAGATTATTAGTGAGCTGGCTACATATGTCGTTGGGTAGGAAAGGACGAGAGATTTTGTGTGTTAGTGTGTGTATATACATTCAAACAGGTTTTAAGAGCTGGGATGGCCTATCCTCTTCTATTTCAGTTGCCATATTGGGGTATTGAGGTTTTTTGAAGTGCTCTCGCCGAAAGCAGTGTCATAAGCTTTCTCTCAGAACTAAGGTTAAACAAGTTATGGGCGGGAACTGAAATACTGAAAATGTAAAAATGTTTGATGGTGCATTAATTGTGCTCAATCAGAGCTAAAGGTGACTCATCATCTCTGAGTGAAGTTATGGGCAACCATTGTAACACTAAGAGCGTCTGAAACTCTTTAAAGAATTATGGTGGTGCACTCGGAAGGAAAAGATAACTCACCACTAAAATTCCAAGAGCTACTGAAACTATATAGAATTTTGCCCTTACCCTGGTTGGAGTGTGAAAAATGCCAAACTGAAAATGTTCCTTTTCTTTTGAAAACCATACATATCAGTTGCCCCTTGTTTAGAGTCTTGTTTCTAGCAGAAGCGGCAGATGACTTCGTGGTTAGAGCATTGCTCATTATTCATCATGTTGATGTCATAGATTCAACACTACTGTCCACTCAGGGGTGATAAATTGAGAGGGCAGTGTCAAACTGAAAAGGATAACATATCATTTTTATCCTTGGGGGGGAAAAAAGACGATGAGATGACTTAATCATTATGACGAACCAAGGCCTCTCGACCGGTTACCAGTTCATGTCGGGTGTGAGATTGGTTAGCCAGTTATTTGTTTTCCAAATGCATGGATTTGATGATTGAAGAAGCCGTAACTGACCAGTTGTTACGGGAACCACCTTACGACGACGAGAAGTCCAGCAATCCTCTGGCACATAAATATTACCCGCTAGATTCGAACGCATGAAGGGGTAATCAGAGGTGGCGAGAGTATTCCTAACGCTTTGCATGCTGCGCCACAGGCACCCTCCCACTGGGATTCTGGTTCTTCCAACCATAGTATGTCTTCACATATGAGTTGCTTGAACGCTCCAGAAGTGCATGTACCAATCAATGAACTAATTTTGTTCGCCTACTTCACGTCAAGTTGTGTGAAGAGACTGCAACCTATGAGCAGGGGTATATTCACTTGGCTAACATAGACAGTCCCCAAACTCGTAATAGAACTAAAATAAGGAAAATTGGAATAAAACTATGGCCTAACCCCAACCTGGTACACACACAGGAGTACTGTTGCTTGAACTATAATTTTGGAAAGCCCCTAATTTTTTTTATATTTTCCAATAAATCCAGGTTCTCTTCCACACTCGGGCAACTATGATAGAATAGATCTTCAGAAACCAGCTCGGCCTCTCAGTTTATCTGATCTCGACAGCAATTATTCTCATCTGACTTTCCGACAGAATTTGCAAAAACCTAGAGAGGTGAGTGACCTGTTCTGTGCTATTTCATTATAGAGATAAGAGAGTTAAGAGGAAATAAAAGCATGGACGAGCAGTAGAAAAAGAAGAATATTTTGTATACTGGATAGGCCACAACCAGGGCTGGTTTGAAATCAGGGAGCCGTATATTCAAACAGCTCAACCAAAATGTCACAGTTGCTCTTCCAAGCCCTGGTCACAACCCAGGTTCCTGTTCCTAGAATTTTATGATTCTACATAGAATTCGGATATTTTTATTTGAAAATTCAATACGAGTATTAGGGCTAAAATAGGGCTGTCAGGCATAAAATAGACTTCAATTAACAAACTTTAAAATTGAAAATATAATTGAGCAATGTTTATCAACTATTCTGGATGACTAAATTTATTTACTTTAATTACAATTCACGATGATTTCTGCAAGTTTTTGTGTCAAGCGTGAGCCAGTTTAGAATGCATTTGATATTCTATATTGGAAATATAGATTCAATTCTATGTCACAAGCATCTGACAAACGAGTTTACACAATTTCGCCATCTCTCAGATATGTAAAGGGCTGGGATCTTCCGGAATAACAGTCTGGGTTAATTCCAATGCTCCAATATATTCATATACAAACAATTTTTCTTAAGAAATCTCACACCATTGACACCATTGTCGTAAAATGGGTCAGAAAATGGCAAATGTTTACTAAGAAGGTTAGAGTGTGATCTGGTATTCATGTTTGTAGTTTGATTTTGAAGAATGCACCAATGTTCAATTCTCCATATATCACACTTCATTTCTCATGTGTGTTCTGTGTGTTGTTTAATTTCTGTTAACTCATGTCACATATGTAGTTTTATATAGTTGTAGTTTGCCATGGCACAATGCCATTAGAATATAGTATACTCTCGTAGTATGCGAACCAAGATGGCGGACACCGTAACGTAGTATGTGTACCAGGTTAGGGTTAGGTCATAATTTATTCCAATTTTCTTTATTTCAGTTCTATTACGAGTTTGGGAGACTAGCCAAGTGACTCCCGTAGTTTTTTGCAACTGGAATTATGGCCTAACCCTAACCTGGTTCACATAATACGTTCCAGTGTCCGCCATCTTGGTTCACATACTACGGGAGTACCGAATATTTTGCCAATTAGTAGAGATCTAGCAACACATTAATTTCACTCTTAACTTTAGATTCTACCATAAATATAAATATGCCCAAAATTTATGGGTTTTTTACTTTCATAATTTGTTTGAATAAGTATGAGTGACTCATCTCATGTGTGTTTCAGTGTGCTATTTAATTAACCATCATCACAGTTTTGAATTCGACATGATTGCGATGTTTTGGTAGGCAATTTCAGTGGCTTGTAGGGACAAATAGATGCAATGGCACCAATATTAACTAAGGGTGTACCGGCACACAGAAACGGGTGCTACTTGTGTACCAGGTTAGGGTTAGGCCATAATTTACGAGTTCGGGGACTGTCTGTGTTAGTCAAGTAAATATACCCCCTGCCCATAGGTTTCAGTCCCTTCACACAACTTAATGTAAAGTAGACGAACAAAATTAGTTACCGCCATATTGGTACATATACTTCTGGACCGTCGAGAAAGGCACTTTTTCACTAATATGCCCGATAATTTTGTACCGCTGTGAACTGTGCTTGTACTAACTTTTGTAGGTTCTGTGTGTTATTGAATTGTTACACCCAATTCTCTTAATTTGTCATATCGTACTTTCAGTGTAGTAGCTTGCTATATCTCTTGCATGTCTTATAACACTAGTTGTTAGTAGAAATAGATGACATGTACCAAAACACTATTTATCAGGGTTAACTGACACAAGGCTCAGGAGCCATGAGTATGCCGAACGAAATTTGTACCATTATGTGCTGTGCAATATGGATTCTAAATACTGTTATAATAAGAAGACCTTTTCCTGGTAATATTGTTGGGGTTCGGTATAAGCGTGCAGAATAACGTAGGGGTTCGGCAGGTTCGGAAAAGTTAATAAGAACCACTGCCTAAGTCAGGTTTTCCCAACGGTCCAGATCAGTTCAGTTCTCATATGTGAGTGTCTCAAAATATAGGTTCCAGTTGAAAAAACAATATTAATTCATCTCATTTGTGTAAATATGTTTCTAATTTTTTTTTCACTCTCATATCATATTATTGATTCATCATTTAGTGTCAGTGTTGCTCACTAGACTTTCTATTCTTTTGTCTTTTTTCCCTAGGTCTATATAATGTTTACAAACTTTGAAAGGCATAAAGTACACATTAATAACGTTTACAAAATTGAGTTTTATTTAACGGCAGCAATTTTTTTCGTGTAAGGAGATTTCTTGCCAAATAAGTTGGCACTGCACAAATAGAAAGTTTGGGAAACATTGCACTAGGTCACAATATTATTCATACATTAATTAAGCATAGAAGGCTTATAGCAGTGTTTTGCATTTGACAAAGTCACGTGTGGGCGTTACTGATGAAGGTTTCACTTAGGAAGTGATAGTTTCTATGTCTATTATACTTTTGAGAATTACTCATTATCATATATGTAAAGCAGTATAATGTAGCCTATTAGTGCTTACCATATATGTGTGCTTTGTTATAGAAGTATTAAGCGAGATGAACTGTCTATCTTTTGTCTATTCTGTTTCATTGAATTAAGAGTTACACATTTGCCTGGTTTGGATCAGTATAGTTTAGAGTCCACAGACTGCCATAGTGTTTTAGAGTAGTAAAGTAATGTTTTTATTTTGTTGTGAGAAGACGCAACCGTTAGGTTCGTTGAACACACTTAAATTAATGAGAAAAAAACACATTTTAGATTCTTGTAGTTGTCATGGATTGAATATTTTATGCGACAGAAAAGTCATTATAAGCTGTAAAAGTCGGCGCTTCTAACGAGCGCATAATCGTGGGGACTGTTTCAGAAGGGGGTGGGAATTCCCGATTTTGAAAATCCTGACTGCGCCCCCCGCGTGTGGTCTTTAATAGTGAATTTGAAGAAAAATGATTTGTACCGTGTGGTCGTGTAGCAAACTGCCTTTTCTTATATGGGCTTTGTTTTGAGGGTCTTATCAAGTGGAATAATTTGTATTGTGGTGTCATGTGATAAATTAGCTATCCATCCTTCTGTTTTTAATTTGAAATCACTCACTGGCGTATATAGAGACCATATAGTGGCGTATTTGCCTTGTGTGTGATTTATTATAAAAGTATCGAGAGAGATGATTTAAATTATGGGGCTGTGTGACAAACCTATTATGCTTCATTCTGTAGCATCTATTAATAACAATTACCCATTTGCTTCATTGGGATCAGTGTTGTAGTCTTTGCCTTATGTGTGATCTTTAGTAGTGAATTTGAAGAAAATGATTCGTATGTTGGGTCGTGTAGCAATGATGGCAAACTACAGCATATTGTTTGCTACTTGTGCGGGCTTTATCTTGTGTTGGAAACACTTTGAAAGAAAATATTTTTCTTTTCATGCTATCGCTAATCTTTGTCCAAAATTGTAAAGTCGATGATCGTTACTTATATGTACATGTATTCACACTGATGCGAGGAGTTCCTAATTTTACATGTGGAGAGAACTAAAGTTTAAGCATATTCAAATCATGGCTTATGATTTATTACCTGTACTCAGGGATTCAATGCTATGACTAAAACATTTTTTTTTATTTCTAGACCAAGCCATCAGCTTTAGCAGCAACACCACACACTAAATTATCAAAACAAAATTCTGACATGAGTGAAATCCTGCTTCGAACCAACAGTATTTCTAAGTCAGAGAGAAGTATGGAGTCCGGTGTGAAACTGCAGGTAAAATTGGAATTATTTTTTTATACGACGATTTCCAGATGCATTTCTATTGGAACGAGCTTCGGCTTTTAATATGAAATTCCTGTCTTGACCTGATAATTTGTTCATTGTGACTGATTAAATATTCTCGTACCCGACATTGACTGGTAATCAGACAAGAGGCAGGTGTTCGGCATATGATTGAGCCCTCTTGTTGTCATGCCGTTAACGGATTGAGCTGATCCTATCCTAGAGATTACTCACTTATAATTATATTCATATTTCCTTCAGATCACAGATAAAATTCGGGAAGCTTTCAGTCAGATCAGTAGAAAATATAAACACCATTGGAAATATAATCTCGAGGAAACTGGGTCTGATGGTGACGTCAAGTCCCTGAGTTCAAGTGGGGACGAGGATTCAGATACTGAGATGGACATGAGTAGACATAGGTATGTGAGTAGGTCTTATTACTTATCGATCTCTATCGGTAAGTATGTTCATGGGTGTTTGTCTGTTAGACACTTTCGTATGTTACACGATGTTTCACGAATGCAAATTTTGCATGTGCATTCATCATATCTCGGACCAGAAGCTTATTGATGAATTGGATGAATTATGTCGTATAATAGCGAGTTAATAAATAATTAGTGATGGGACACGTGGTGTCGCTATTGAGTCAGAGGGAAGGAATGGGAACCGCACCTTTCGTCGTTTTTTTTTTACTTTTTTTTCCACTTTGTTTGTCAGGTCGAGTAAAATATAAGTAATAATATAAGGTCGAGTAAATAAGTCGGTGGTCTCGGATCGCTGTCTATTGGTATTATATTTTAAAGAAAATTACAATCAAGAACTCATATATAGGGTGTCCATGAAGTCCTAAAATTTTTTAAAATTGTAAAGATGAGTTATTGATACCTCATAATTGCTTTGGCCATCACAGATGTAATAAATAAGATAAGAATACTTACAATTACTGATTTAAAAAAACAACAAACCTGGTTAAGCCATATTGAGAACTGACTAGACTTCATAATAAAATAGAAATTGTAAAGGGATTTTATGGACACACTGTATATTTGTGAGTTTATATTTGCAATAGAGATGGCATGGGAATTTTCAAAGCAAAATTCCAATCCCCAAGTAGAAAAGTACTGATAGAAGAATTATAAGCCACCATTGATGTGCTATCACCTATATGTAAGTTTCATGCAAGGCTGTCATCACTCAATTAAAAGAAACAGATTGTTGATAAAAGGGTGGTTAGCGGCAACTGGCATTCTAATAGCTACAAATGGATCCATTCATGATACAGAAATGCCAGTCTATTACTTGGTTGGTTGGCATTGTATCTGAATGTGATGCCAAGTCCCTGAGTTCCAGTGGAGATGGACTCCTCGAATACGCATTTTTTTTATACAAGTTTTCTTTATTTAAGGCTAATAACTCACATATTAGGGCCTCATAAGAAACAAGTGACTCCTAAAAAAACTACAATGACTTCATCCTGATATCAAATTTGTTAAAAATTCAAGCTTTTTTTCAGGCAAACTCTTGATCGTACTCGTACTATGCAGAAAACATACAGAAGTACTTTGAAATACAAATCATTGGAACGAGAATTGTCAGGATCTGATGCATCGACTGTGTTTGAGCAAGTTTTGATTTGCAAAGTGGTTCCAGGTATGGTTGTAAGACTCGTTTGTTTAACCCCTAACCCAGTGGTTATCAAACTTTCATGATCTATGACCCTCATCAAAAAAATTGTGGTCTTTGCTTTTCAAAAAAATGTGTTTAATGGCGTTTCAATCAGGTGTTTTGTGAAACATGTTTAATAATAAAAAGGCAACAAAGGAAAGTAAAGGAATAAAGAATTAAACAAATAACAGTCAATTTGTTTCAAGTCAATTTGTTTCAGGCCATTTTTGTTTGTGGCTCCCAGGCAACGGCTCCATGGGCCTCCAAGAGGTCCAGGGACCCAGTGTGATATATACTCTGCACTAGATCGACGCACCTGTTAAACCACTACTAGACCTTAACGCCCACAAATTATTATAAATTATTTTTCAATTCCAGATCCGACCGGTAAAATATCTTCCAAAGTATCGTACCGATTTCCCGCCCCTCCTCCTGGTAAAACCGTCGGAGATGAAAAAACTTTGGCTCATTTTTGTTTTCCTGATATCGGAGAAATACAGCCATGTAGAGAAATGATGAGTCATAGTTACTCATTTATGCTGACTCGTGAAGATGGGACACGAAAGTTCGGATATTGTAGAAGGTAGGTCTGTTTTGCGTTACTGGAGCGGAAAAGGATCTTTATGTCTTGCTTAAAAGGGAAGTTTATAGTTAGTTTTTAGTGTTGTGAATGCATGATAATCATTTAAATAATCTAATAATTATTTCTAATATCATTTAAATACTCCATCCGGCCACACTTTTCTGTATTTCATGTGATAAAAATTAAGATCAGAGAATTTGCTTGAAGCTAAGCCACACACACTCATCTCTGGGCCACTTGAACACTTGGCCACTTCGTAATTAACTATATTCGTTCAATTCCGGCACTTAGGCTGCGTTTCCATGGTCAAGTTGTTATAAATTTTCTAAGAAGGTGGCACAATGCAACTAGAAATAATATGGTTTTATACAAAGTGTAAATAAAGTCACAATGAATTTTGAAGTGTAAAGAGACTTTATGGTCGCTCTGTATTGTATAAATATAAGATATTTTTATGCCATCTCCGCAATTTTATTGTCAGAATTCTGCCACCAGGAAACGAGCCTCGATACCCGGTAGTCTACTGTCTGATCAGTGCTATGGGAAGCTTTGGTTTGTACGAGACAATACTTGACGAACTGGAGAGAAGACATAGGGTGAGGATTCTGATTTTTCTTTTTGAGCAAGTTTGCTTGAACGAAGGACTTTCGGCAGTGTGGCTCATCGTGCTAAGCATTAGGAATACGCTCGCCACCACACCTCTGATTACCCTGCGTGGGTCTGCAGGTTTGAATCCCATGTGGGGATAGTTATGTGCTGAACGATTGCTGGACTCCTAGCCATCGTATGATAGTTTGCATAACGGTTGCGGTTATTCGGTTTCGGCATCAAGTCCATGCTTCCGAAACAAATAACTAGCCAACTAATCCCATACCCGACATAGACTGGTAACTGGACGAGAAGGCGTGATTAGCCATTTGATTTGCCTGTGATAAATAAGTTAATCCCATCCTATAGTAAATAACTATAAATAGGAAGAGTACTGATAGAAGTTCTTGAGGATAAGAATTGTGCTTTTCGCAAATTCGTGGAGGATATTCTTTTCAAAAACATTGAATTCCTCAATTGGGAAACACTGCATTAATTTGATAACACCGATCTAAATCCCAGGTTTCTCTGAAGAAAGTCTCAGTTTTCATTGAATCACTTTTCGTTGAAAGATTTCCAGCACCGGGGAGAAACGTCAGAGTTGAAATTGAAGAACCAGGTTTGAAATTTTTTGTATAGATGAGGGGGGGGGATTTTTCGAGCTATCAGTAACAATTGACAACTCTAGCTCATGTGCTTCAAATTCCCCACAGTGCTGAATTATGTCTAATCCTCAGACAGATTCTTTTTTTTTTTTGGGAGGGAGGATTCATACTTTGGCTGCAAATGCAATACTCAAGATGACACCATTATTTGGCGTTTTTCATCATCACTTTGAACAAGTCTTTAGACAAGCCAACCTCTATTCATACAGAAATTATATTATTATATTTCATTTGGATCACATGCTTAAATTTGGGTCATTTTACAGAATTTGTCTGGCCTCAATATCAGCAAAATTAATGTCTTAATGGAATCTAATCATAGTTAGGAGAAATATTTAATAAATAATATAAGTATTCAAGTTAAAAAATCAAAAATACTTTTACCTAATTTGCTCAAAACAGCTTTTTTAAGCTTTGTGTCTCGGTCTAAATTCCCGATATTCCATCACTATTTTTTGAATCTATTAAACTTTACAATATTCCTGAATCATTTAAACTTTCAAACTTTTATTCTCATAGATGGGAGAGCATATTTTGTTTTACGCCGGCCGTTTGACACAAGGTTAGAACATGTTGATCTGCAATGCTTGTTGTCTGAGCTTGGAGTGGATATAACTATAAAGGTGAATTGTTTGAATCTTTTACAAACATTAGAATGTGGTTATTAATACAAAGACTAAGCAGCAATCACTTATTACTTATCGATCTTAAGATCGGTAAGTATATTGATAGGTATTTGTCTGTCTGTGTGTCTGTGTGTGTGTCTGTTAGATGCACGCGATATCTCACGAAAGCGAGATTGAATCTGCTCCAGATTTTGCATGTGCATTCATCTTATCTCGGACCAGAAGCCTATTGATTTTGGGCGAATTATGTCGTATAATTAGCGAGTTATCAATCAATTATTGATATAGTGATCTAGATTTTTGTAAAGCGAGAGAATTTTGAAACCCGCCGAGTGTGTGTGTGCGATGCGCAGTGCGCAAGTTACAAGAGCGGATGAATCAAAACTGCAGTTTCTGTTTTGGGGGATCCCCTAACTATCGATCGATAAGTCTTCGGTTTCCAACCGATATTCTCGTACTTACTTTTACTTATAATTTATGAACATGTCTCATGTTGCAGAAATCACCAAAAACTCTATATTATTTTCCCCCAACAAGTTTGTTGCTGTGTATTCGCTTGCACGTCAGTTTGAAAATGACTGATAACGTCCGATCATTTGAACAAATAAATGCATGAAGCATTCCGAAAATACAGTGTAACATTACAGAAATATATTTGTGTTAGCGACTATCGTACAACGGGACTCTTGGATCACCTAATAGAGTCACAATATTATAACCTATATTTTCTTCAGTTTATCTCATTTATCTGGTCAATCAAGCTTTCTTTTACTTATTCAGATATTTGCTTCCCTTCTACTCGAAAGGAGAGTTATCATCAGTGGGAAATCACTAAGCACATTAACTGCCTGCATTCATGCGTTCCGAGCCCTGCTGTACCCTTTTATATGGCAACACGTTTTCGTTCCTGTCCTACCTCAGCCTATGGTAGACTTATGCTGCTCACCTACTCCGCTACTCATCGGGATTTTAGAAACGTCGTTACACAAATTGAGGACACTGCCATTGGAAGAGGTTTTTGATATTCAAGAATTTAATTTTGTTTTTTTTATGTTTCCTCTGAACGAGTTTCTACACCAGGGGTGGGCAATTAATTTATTGAATGGGTCAGTTACAGACAATAGACTTGGTTGGTTACTGGGTGGGAAGCTTAAAATTCAATACGGAAAACTATGAATAAAAACATTCATTTACAACAGCCAGGCTAACGTTTACATAATAATAAGAAGCACAATGTAACAATCGGGGTCATTATGACGTAATTTTCATCAATATTTTCAACGGAATTTTATATCCATAAAACTATATTTGTAATTTCAGCAGAGTCGGCCGAATGAAACACTTTGGCGGGCCAGATCCGATCCGGAATTTGCCGTAATTTTCTTGTCCCTGTTCTACACAGACAGTCATTTTTAGCCACAGACAGCTGTTGTGACAGAATTATTGATTATTACTTTTGGGAGAAGTTTACAATTTGGCTTGTTTTTATCAGATCTGTTACCATAACGTTTAATTAGCCCAGATCGGTGGCTCCCAACCTTTTTTCTGAATTACCCACTTTGGTTTTCGAGAAGGTTTTCATCACCCACATACTAAAGCAGGGGTTCCCAAACCGCGGCCCGCGGGCCAAATCCGGCCCGCGTAACGATTCAAAATGGCCCGCCGAGCTTGAGTGAAATGGTGTGCGAGTTAGTGCAACAGATTTTGCTTCACCTTTTTTCATTCTAGATAGCGCCAAGTGTTACGCCATTATCACACTTCAAGCACGTGTTTTTATCGTAACAATTCAATTCGTTATTCAATTCGTTCAACAATTCAAGCGTTATCTCAATTATTCGTACCGGTAATATGATTACATAGGGCAGTAATTTAGTTATGAACCATAAGAGCTTAGACATGTCACGCGTTTTCAGGCGCTACACTCTTCCGGCCCGGGAACATCCCTCCGATGCACGTTTTGGCCCGCGACCAATAAAGTTTGGGAACCCCTGTACTAAAGCCACCAATAATATTTGATAAGACTTGTTTAAGTGGGTGTAAAAATCAAGACCCCAAGTCCGTTCGATGCTTTCGTTTTAACGCAATAACTCTTGAAAAAACTTGTGGTTATTGGAAAAAATGTTGCCAAAGTGTTGCGCCACCATGATTATACACAACATGTTTACAAGAATTTTCTCCAAAACTTTCCGTACTTGTTGGCACCGGCATTTTTCTTTTTTAAGTGTAATTATGCTTTTCATTGTGTATTATTATTAATTCATTGGGTTTACTGTATGTAATATTTTACAATTTTATCACTCCTCAATTCCCCACAAGTGTGAACACTGTGTTTACTGCGTATAATTTTCATTCAAACATTCTATTTTTGTCTCCGTAGGTTTTTCTCGTTAATATGTCGACACAAGAAGTTCTTTCAAGTGCTGGTGACGAGATGGAGATTTTGCCTCGAAAATTACAAACTCCGTTAATTAACTCGTTAACTAATTTTGCCAATAATTTTCAAAGTGGAGGAATGGAACCCAGCTATGATTTTGCAATAGATTATGGTAAGTTGTTGCTGTTGGAGAGAATTTGCTCACGGCCAGATCATGCGTAGTTACTCGGAAGTAAAGGAAATTCATCTCTGAGCAAAGGCTACTAAAACTGTATAGATTTATGGTCGGTGATTAACTTGCCAAAAAGGCAATTGATATGAAACTACTTCAAGTCAATACAACCAAGTAAACAGCTACACTGAATTCAGATGTGGAATGAAGGCAGTTCATCACACAGCTCCACATCACACAACCCCACATCACATTTCTCGTTCTAATTTGTTAACTTGTGTTTGTTAACTTGATAATGCAGGAGATTATCATCCTGGGATAATTGTGCTTTAATTCTGTTTCCCACTCTTTAACTGACCTTATGTCTTATTTTATATTCTGGTATTTGTGGTGACAACTGAACTGTTTATTACTTATCGATTTCAATCGGTACGTATTTGTATGTCTGTCTGTCTGTTAGATGCACGCGATATCTCATGAAAGCGAGATTGAATCTGCTCCAGATTTGGCATGTGCATTCATCATATCTCGGACCAGAAGCCTATTGATTTTGGATGAATTATGTCGTATAATTAGCGAGTTATTAATTAATTAGTGATGGGACACAAGGTGTCACTATGGGGTAAGAGCGCTGTTTTGGGGATTTTCTAACTTTCGATCGATAAGTCTTCGGTCTCTGACCGATATTCTCATGTTAACTATTGCCTGTGTTAAATGATACCAATAAACATAATTGATGAATAATCTTCTTAGAATCAGCGGAACGCAACACTGTAATTTCGGAATCCTTCATGCATTTATTTGTCGAGATGATCGGACATTATCCGAGTCATTTCCAAACTGACGTGCAATCGAATACACAGCAACAAACTCGTTGGGGGTGAGTGCTATAAAGCTTTTATGTATGTAGAAAATTTTACAAGTTATATTTGTCTTAGTGTGCAACAGAACTCTCGAATTGCATATAGCAATTAGCCCAGCGGTGTGGAGCATCGTGCTAAGCATTAAGAATACGCTCGCCACCGCATCTCTGATTACCCTTCGTGGGTTCACGTAACCGCTGGTCAGTTACGGCTTCCTCCACTCCACCATCAAGTCCATGCTTCCGAAAAACAACTGGCTAACTAATCCCATTACCGACCTGGACTGGTAACCGGACGAGAGGCCGTGGTTTGCCATATGATTAAGCCGTCTTTCCTCTCCCCCGAGATAAATATGTAAATCTTTTGTTTATTCTTGCTACAGCATCCTTGCATTATACGCATACGGATCCATTAGTGCAAAAGCATTGATGAAGGATTGGTAGTTAATCTCGCGTAACTTCTGCTGATAACATTTAGAAGTATTTGGGCATCTTATCCGGTTGGTTAGAAATACTATGATACTAAATTATATGGAATCGAAATTCAATATTTAATTTCAGGAAAATTCAACGAACCTTTAATCGAATATCATTTTATGAAGACGTAACATCTCGTAGTTTGCGACGTTTCCTTGATTTGTTCATGGGAACGCAGATGTTTGATGGATTCATACATTCAAGGGAATTGGCCAACACTGATTATGAAGGTAAAATATGAGTTTGTTATCATTGATATTTGATTAAGACGGCTATTTTTATTCATTATTTTAAATTCTTGCCTCTAGGAATGATTCAGAATAGTTAGTTGAAAAATTATTAATATGAGCAATATATGTTCCACAAAAATGATTTTTGTCCTTCCAAAACTTTAGATGAATTAGTGAACCCTTGTTGGGAGCAAAGTTGTGAAAAAGCCGCATAAAATTTAAAATAGAAATAATTTTAATAGGCATTTTTGAACACATGACAGTCAGAGATGCTATAAATTGGCCCTCTCAAAACAGAGTAGCTCTTTTTCTCATGCTTGTTCCAAACTTTTTCAGAGCAAGGATGTGAAAAATAATTCAAAAATGAGGTGTTTTATATATATTATGTTAGGTAAACCATACTTCAAACCAGAACGGTTTTGGTCCACAGCTGTGCAACAGGCCCGTGGGGCACAACCTGACCAGCCAAGCGATTTGATGTGTCCCTTGTCAACACTTTATTAACTGCTTCTTTAAAACATAACTGTTTTATTAAACGGCTCTAAAAATCGAATAAAAAACATCTTTTTTCAGGTTTATTTGAACGCCGAATTGCCCGGCACTTGCTAACTGCTGATGCTTCAAACTTGAATTTCAAAGTTTTCCGGACAAAAATGAAACGATTTATGCAAGGAATAGGAAAAAAGAAGATTTAAGGTTTAATCAATGCTTGCAAGTATACTGTAGCGAGGATAAAGATGACTATTGGATCTCTGCTATTGGAAACCCTTATCGGTCGTTCTGTCTGTCTGTCTGTCTAAGCTTTAGCATCTTAACGGCTGGACCAATCTAGATTAAATTGTACACATGGGTTATCTTGTCACCCTAGTAATGTGCTTTTCATAGAAAGTTCGGATTGTAGTTTTGTTTCTATGGCAACAATGAAAAAATGTGCCAGTCGTAATGAAAGTTTCGAATTTTTTACAATTCATCGCTGTTTTCTTGCCAACCAAGTCGAAACTTGTAATTCCAAGAATGCTACCTTTCACAGAGAAAAAAACTTTTTCAAACTCGTCCTTCATCCCGATACTCCATAAACTAGCCAAGCCTTAGTGATTTTAGTGAACTTTATTTTAACTTTTGGCTACAATATATCAATCTTGCAAGAATGTTTAGAAAACGCACAGAACTTGTAATGAATTGGCAGTTTCGGTAACCCGTTCACTTGATCACAGCGCATTACAGATTTGCAAGTTTCTGAGGATTGTGACCGATTGTTTAAGTGCGGGCCTAAACTATTAGCGGAGATCTTGGGCGCCTACCGGCTTATTCTAAATCAGGGGTTCCTGAACTTTTTTCAGGACGACCCCAAAGGCAACTCTCAAGTGTCCAGTGCGACCCCAGGTCAATATATATATTTTCATGAAACTCTAAAGAGCTTCTTTTACTGGACTTTGAGTTTGGTCATGTGGTGGTACTAGGTAAAATAAGCTAAGACCGAACAGTGATGTCACAATAGGCACTTACATTTTCTATAGCGTATGCATAGAGCGATGCCTATTGACCTGTTTTACAGTAAGCCATGGTACAAACTGCTAAATTTAACATGGTTTGTCAAATCTCAGATGTTTTGCACATCCATCCTCTACCATACCACAGCGACCCCACCGACCCAATGACCTGTTTGTGACCCTACCTACTTATCACTCCGACCCAATTTGGGGTCGCGACCCCTGGTTTGGGAACCCCTGTACTAAATGATTCTGGGTTTCAAGACTCTGTCATTTTGATCAAGTTTTTGCTTCATGTCATCACAAAACACTGCAGTATTTATTTGTCTTTAATGTTCCTTTTGCAAGTGCTATAATTATTTTGCACTTTAATCCCTCACCATACTGAGAGACTTATCATTTGCAAGTCTGTTAAGTCTCATCTCTCCTATTTCCTACTAGATCTATCTGTATTATTGAGCAAGTTTTTTTTTCATTCTCCGACCATCACAAAACACTGCAGTATTTATTTAAATGTAATGTTCCTTTTGCAAGTGCTTTTATTATTTTGTGCTCATATTTTATCACCGTACTATGTATTACTTGCATCTCATTCTTTTTTATTCTAATCAAAGCCTTTTAGAGATTTTTTAAATGCTTTTTTGGATATCAAGGCTCTAAATGAGTGTGTGATCAAGATGTATTGCTGTATATTTAGCACTCCCAAAGTATGTGAACCAAGATGGCGGACACTAGAACATAGTATGTGTACCAGGCTAGGGTGAGGCCATAATTTCAGGTACAAGTACTACGGGAGTCACGTGGCTAGTCCACGAACTCGCAATAGAACTAAAATAAGGAGAATTGGAATAAAAGTATGACTTACCTTAACCTGGTACACATACTATGTTTCGGTGTCCGCCATCTTGATACACATACTTCAGGGGTACCGCATATTTCATGTTTTTATTTCATTTTTGCTTGCAATATCTTTTGTGACATTCTATGTCAGTGCCAGTGCTCTGGAATCTGATACTTTTTTCAACTTTTCACAATTTTATACTTGGTCACCAATAATCTGACTTCCAGCACTGAATAAAACTCAAATATGTTATTATTATTCAAGACACATCTAAGGAGTCAAATCAGCTGAAACAAATTGTCTCCAGGCTCCACGCACATCAAATTTCGTTAATATTTAGGCATTTTCAATCTGTAGTCTTGAGACACCAAACTCTAATCCATTCACAAAATTGACCTCAAAATATTTGACTTCATGCTGCACATGAAAATTTGACTGCCATTTCTGAATGAAAACTCAAAACATTTCATTATTATTCAAGACACAATTCAAGAGTTAAAATACAGCAAAATAAATTATATCCAGGTTACCAAAATATTTGAACCCATTCTCACGTTAATATCTTGGCATTGCGTCACCCAATTGTTGCAATACGGGCTTAAATCTGACAATGCTTCCAGACGTGAAGAGCCATCGCAGTGTCTGAAATAACAGATTTCATACTTATGTCTTAGTCCATTTGGAATCCAAATTTGTTAGCAAATAACCTGCCATTGCATACATTTTCCGCTGATAAGATAACTTACTCTCATAGCCACATGTCAAGTTATCAGTCTGATCAAAAAGCAAAAGAATAGTTGGCTAATTATCTGTTTCAGATGTATCGACTTGATGGTGAAACTAACTGTAACTGACCAGAAGTTACATGAAATACCCTACAATGGCAAAGAGCCTAGCATTCCTCTCACACACAACTATCCTCCCCATAGATATGAAACTTCAAACATGCACCTCATGCATAAGAGGTGTAATCATAACACTTAGCACAAAACACTCAACACCGTCTTGTATTATCATTATATTGTTGCATTCAAATATTTTCAAAGCAGTATTCTGTCATTTTGTATCATTCTGTATACTGAGGGGAAATGTATTCCTAGTCACATCTGCAAAGCAATTTTTGTGTTTCTGTCAGGAATTTTGACTTTGAATTCTAAAGTTTTAACTCAAACATCTACCCTAGAAAATACGATAAACCATCAATAAAACATGTTGAACTCTGACCCAACAGCCGTGATCTATAACATCTTGAATTTTTTGCATTCATTGACATTCATTATCCCCCCCACCTCTGGGAGCTCAGCTTCTTGTAGTTCATTTAAATTCAATATTAATGGTTAATGTTTCGATATCTACACTGTGATTCTTCTTGTATTATTTTTCAATTCATATATCTGGAATATATAGAATATATATCGTAATAATGAATTTAATAAATGACAGTTATGAGTCTCTTTTCTGGAGGTTTGATGGAATTTTAGGGACGGGTTCTCAAACTTAATAACCATAGGTGCCCTAATTTCAGAAAAGATGTGAATCACTGCGTAAGCTACAACACTAAACACTTTATAAATCTAATACATAACTTTTGTAAAGTCAAATATAACGCTAGTCTTCACTGTAGACACTTTATTAATTTGCTATGGTTGTCTAACGATGTATTCGCCAGAAGCCACTGAATCCCACTGCCGAGTGGTATACAACCAGCACATGGAATGGAGTACAGGGACATTCTTCATCAGACAGTACACCTCATGATAAGTTGATCATATTCACCCATAGTCTTGGACGTTTCACGCGGATAGGCATCAAAAACATTTATTTATTGTGTTGACATGTGCCTAGTCACGAGCTGCAGTGCTTTGTTGGGTTTGACTGTGTGTAGCAGGAGTGTTAAGGGACAAAAGGAGATTTCTTTTTTTCACCAGAAATCAAGCATAAAAACAGTAAAAATAAACATATACAAAGAGTTATTCGGTAAAATATGGGGAAGCGATACGACCGTTCGGTCATCAGAGTCGGTTCCCTCGATATTCACTATTGTGTACTAGATTAACGGTTATTGTAAGCAATGAGCATATATACAATGAGTGGAAACTTGTGCAACGGTACGACTTAACCGGAATACCGGTAGGTGCTCGCCACTGATACAGTCTAGTAATACTGTAATAATTAGTTCAGAAGATCCAATGTGCTGCAAAGACACACAAATAGGTTCGAAGTTCACGATGCAAACGAAGAGACTTTATTAAAATAGTGTAAAATCCACGCTTAAAGCAGATAAAATAGAGCGACAAAAATACGGTCCTTACCCAGCGACAGCAGAAGCAAGAAGAGCGAACACTGCGTACGCAGCACAGTTCACATATGCAGTGGTGGTTGGAGTCGAGTTACTGGATCAAACTATCGGGCGAATTAGGGCTCAGACTCCACACACCAATGCATATGCAATAACTAGACACTAAATATAAATAAAATACAAAACAATAAAAAATAGGACAATTCCAGTCCCGCCACACTTGCAAAGATTTGCTCATTTTGGTATTGTTCCCTGCATTTTTTACGTCGTCCGGCTAAATGGTTCGTTGCATATTAAGAAAACGCATTGCTCGCTGCCAAAATCCCTTGCTTCAGCCGAGTCGGGTGCGAAATTGGCCGTATTGAGGTCTTTAATTCTTCAATACATATTTGGTTTTGGGTTTCGAAGTATGTTAGGCTGAAAGCATACAACTATGAGCATATGCTTATTGGGAATGCATATCTATTAGACAGAAAACGTAGCTACAGTACAGAATATGAACCAGTCGCCCAGTGGGGTGCGGTTATTTATGTATTTATTAGGATAATGAGGATAAGGATAAGGATTTACATATTTATCCCGGGGGAAAGGAAAGCCGATAAGACGACTTATCCATATGGCGAACCACGGCCTCTCGTCCAGTTACCATTCCAAGTCGGGCATGGGATTAGTTGTATTGTTTGTTTTCGGAAGCATGGACTTGTTGGTGGAGGAAGCCGTAACCGACCAGCGGTTACGTGAATCACCCAACGGCGGCGAGGAGTCCAGCAATCCTCTTGCACATAACCGTCCCTGCATGGGATTCGAACCTGCGGACCCATGCAGAGTAATTAGAGGTGCGGTGGCGAGCGTATTCCTAACGCTTAGCCCGTTGAGCCACACCGCCGCGCATGGGATTTACATATTTATCCAAGGGTAGAGGAAAGCCGAGAAGAATGCCTAAATATATGGCAAACCACGGCCTCTCTCAATCATAGCTCTGTCCTCCATATGAATCACATGGCTCTGCGAGCTATTCGTTTACTTATTAAAAATACTGATTTTAACTATTTCTCTGGGATATCTTGCCATTGAAAACAAAAGCCAGAAATTGGAAGAATAGCAGAGAATGAAATGTGTGTATTATGTAATGAAGAACCTGAGTTTGTTTCACATATTTTCATGTATTGTAAATTTACAAAAAATATTTATGAGGATTTTGTTTTAGATATATTAAAATTGATTAGAATACATTTTGTTATCAATATGATTCTTGCATATTATTTAATTTCAACGATCCTTTATATAGTCATATAGATACTGTTGATTTGGATGCAATTATACTTTTGTAATCAATAGTGAGATATAAAATTTTGACCATGAGAAATTCTATCATATTCGAAAATAAAACACCCCATTTTCCCTTTCTCAAAAAGCAGATAAAAATGGCCATAATATGTAGAAAAATATAGAGAATTATAGAATAAACAACCCATTTGAGAGGGAATTGAAAAATTTATGTAAAGCGTTATTTCAAAAAGAAAATTATATGTTTATGATATGTATTTTATATTTACTAATTTCATTTTTATTGTTTTATATCAATGCATTTATTAAAATAACCTAATTATGGTATGGATTACTACTGGAATTGAACAAAATAAATACTGAATTATGGATGCAACATGGAATATGAACTTATTTATATTAACCGTAATTAAAATCACTCATTGAGTGAACGAATGAGCATACTGTAATGCTTATTGGGAATACATACCATTTATTAGGCAGAAAACTTAACTACAGAACAGAATATGAACCAGCCAAGTGGTGACCTGGGATATTGTATTCATTGATATAGATAGTTTATTTTGAAAAGTCCACAATCTGACAATACAAACAAATAAAAAATGGAGAGTTCTGGAGAGCGAGCAAAACCTTTAAAAAAGTTTAAAACACGATGAGTATCATGTGCCCGCCGTGTTATAGCAAGCAG